ACACCACCTCCCCCTAGGAGGACAGAGATTTGACCTGAGCCTTCTTCTCTGAGGCCCATTTCCTCAAGGGTTAGGCCACATCTCACCTGCCGTGGAAGGTCGGGCTGGTGCTCTTCAGGCAGGGGTTAATCTTCTGGAGTGTGTCTGTGGAACCGAAACAGGGGAGGTCAGCATGTTAGCGTGCACACGCTCAGCAACAAGGACTCCCAGGTATCGCAGGGCAGGGTTATGTGAGGGAAAGGCAGTCTACCTTAGCTGTCATTGAGATGGTGGCCTGAGAGCCTGTATTGCTGCTGCTGCTTCTGGTTCACCAGCTTCTTTGCCTTTTCACCTTCATCCTGTCTCCTCTGAAGATGGCCCAGTAGAAAATCAGCTGAACTTTTTTTTTAAAGAATTTTTAAAAGATTTTGGTTATTTATTTTTAGAGAGAGGGAAAAGGAGGGAGAAGGAGAGGGAGAAAAACATCAGTGTGTGATTGCCTCTTGCATGCTCCCTTCTGGGGATGTGGCCTGCAACCCAGGCATGTGCCCTGACTGGGAATCAAACCAGCGACCCTTTGGTTCACAGGTCAGCAATCAGTCCACTGAGCCACACCAGCCAGAGCTGAGCTTCTTTTTACAAGTGTGACAGGATAGTTTATGAAAACTTGGTTGTTTTTCCCATTCCTAAGAACTCCAGTACAATAATCTTGTAAAAGTTATTTATAAAAAGCCGTGGCTACCTTCTGACATCTGGCAGTATAACCCCCAGTCAAAGACGATGCTGATGCTGATGACTATCTTCAGGAAAACTAAACGTTTTAGTTCACAAAGCAAGGAAATGGAGATGACTATTTTTGTAATGTCATTTTTTTTTCTTTCCCTATACATCTCGGGACCTTGTTCTTAGAGTGTTTGTTTTAGAACTTGTCAAGCTAGGTCACTTTAAATCAGGTATCTATAAAACTCTCTTTTTGGAACCCATAAAACACTTTACTATAATATATATATTCCTAGTCTCATAGCAGGGTTGCAGCATGTAACCTACAAATTTTATTGTCCCGGCTCATTCCATGAGCTGTTAATCCGTGTAATACTACATGGACAACACGGAAGGGTTTTGGGGTCTTAATAAGCAACCCAGATATTGTTTCAGTCAGCACTTCTCAAATTTGTCCCCCAGTGTTTTTCAGAAGGCAGGAGAGAGAATGCACAGTACTGCTAGAGGTGAGGTGGGGTATAGGGGCAAATACAGAGTGATTACTTATTTTATGAACTAGTGGTATCTGGGAATTCTTTATTCTATAGAATTATGTGTTCTAAAAATATAGGGTCTGGCAGAATTAACTGCCTGCTTGATTGTGGTTGGTAGGGTAATAATATAGCTGTAATAATTTATAGTTTTAACCTGAATATTTCACCTAAAATGTCATAAATGGCATTATTTGTGCCAGACCTTTTAGTATTGGGTTGGCCAAAAACTCTATATGATTTTTTCATAAAATAGAACACATTTTTAATTTCCATCAATAATTTAATTGATTTGGATATTTTGAGTGTGTTGGCTCTTTCCTGCATTATATAATGTTGATTGTTCTCAATTAATGTCTCAATTTGATTGCTGTCAACTTCCATTGCTCAACCCGACCAGGAAGCATTGTCCAGCGAGAACTCTTCAGCATGAAACTTCACAAATCACTTCTGACATGTTTGATTAGTCACAGCACCTTCTCCATCCACTGCACAGATCTTTTTTTTTTTTTTTGCGTTTTTACCTTTCTCGAAATAATAAAGCATAATGTGCTAAAAATGTCGCTTTTTCTTCTATCTTTATATTAAAATAGCTACATAAAAATTCACCAATTTTTATATTTTCACTTTTTATTATATTTTATTGATTATGGTATTACAGTTGTCCTGATTTTTTTCCCCTTTGCCCTCCTCCACCAGTCACTACCCACTTTCTCTGGCAATGCCCCGACCATTGTTCATGTCGATGGGTCATGAATATAAGTTCTTTGGCTACTCCATCTCCTTTATTGTACTTTACATCCCCATGGCTGTTCTGTAACTACTTATTTATACTTTCTAATCCCCTCACCTCTTCACCCATTCTCCCCACAATTCTCTCCCACCTGACAACCATCAAAAAGCTCTCTGTATCCATAATTCTCTTGGTTCGCTTTCTGTTCTCGATTGCTTAGTTGTTTTAAAAAACAATCCAAAGATTCAATTGTTGTTACATACATATTTTTGCCATTTTACTGATCATAATTTTGATCTTTTTCTTAAATAAGTCTCTTTAGCATTTCATATGATAATGGTTGCTGATGATGAACTCCTTTAACTTTTTCTCTTCTGGGGAGCACTTTATTTGCCGTTTGATAGCTTTGCTGGTAGAGCAGTCTTGGCAGTAGGTCTCCATTGTTCATGACTTTGAATATATCTTGCCAATCCCTTCTGGCCTGTGAAGTTACTTTTAACAAATCAGCCAATAGTCTTATGGGAACTCCCCTGTAGGTAATTAACTTCTTTTCTCTTAAATTTATTTATCTTTAGACAGAGGAGAAGAGATGGAGAAGAGAGAGGCAGAGAAACACCAATGTGCAAGACACATCGATTTGGTTGCCTCTTATATACCTCCAACTGGGCACCTGGCCCACAACCTAGGAATGTGCCCTGCCTGGGAACCAGTGACCTTTCTGTTCACAGGCGAACACTCACCAGCCAAGGCTCTTGCTGCTTTTAAGATTCTCTCTTTATCTTTAACCTTTGACATTTTAATTATGATGTGTCTAAAAGTGGGCCTCTTTGCATCCATCTTGTTTGGGACTCTTCGTGCTTCCTAGACTTGCAGACTTGTATGTCTATTTCCTTCCCCAAATTTGGGAAGTTTTATTTCATTGTTTTTTCAAGTAGAATTCATAGTTTTACCAGAAGCTGTTTATACTATTCTCATTTGGGGGGGTTCTTTTTACTTCTCGTTGTTCTGATTGGTTGTTGTTTGCTTCCTTACGTTCCAAATCATTGATCTGAGTCTCAGCTTTATCCACTCTACTGTTGTTTCTCTGTAAATTGTTCTTTATTTCAATTAGTGTGCCCTTCGTTTCTGACTGGATTTTTTTTTATGCCGTTGAGGCCCTCACTAAGTTCCTTGAGCAATGTTTTATCCTTATAACCAGTGTTCTGAACTCAGCCTCTGATAGATTGCTTATCTCCATTTTGTTTAGCTCTTTTTCTGGAGTTTTGATATGGTCTTTCACGGGCCATATTTCTTTGTGTTCTTGTTTTGGCAGCTTCCCTGTCTTTGTTTCTATGTATTAGGTAGGGTTGCTTTGACTCTGTGTCTTGGTAGTGTGGCGTAATACAGTAGATGTCCTGTAAAGTCCATTGGCACAGCCTCCCCCATCACCCAAGCTGGGTTTTCAAGGTGCGTGTGCCCTTTGTGTGGGCTGAGTACACCCTCTTCTTGTAGTGGAGCCTTGATTGCTGTTGGCAGATCAATGCAAAGGATTTACCCGGGCCAGTCAGTTGCATGGACTGGCTGTGACCACTGACCACCAACTGCTGCCCTCTGTGGAGGATCACTGTGCAGGAGCAGGGTGGTAGTACAAGACTGGTCTGTAGCTGTCCACTCAGTGGACTGATCCTGGGATTTCCCAGGTGCTGCGGGCCAAGGTCAGTCACCACTTTCGTTTTGCCAGGGCCACCCTGCCTGAGCTATAAAACAATCAGAGATGGCTGCTACTTGTGTTGGGCTTGGAGATCCCATGCGAGGCCAAGCTATGAATCTAGGCTGGCTGCTGCTAAATGCCAGGCCTGGGGCTCACTGAAGACAACTGTTGCTTGTTTGATAGGATTTAGGAAGAAGTTGAGCCAGGACCAACCATTCATATGGAAAAGCAGCTTGGGTGGGCCTGTAAATTGGATGGGAGATAGTCTCTTGGGATCTCAAAGTCAGGTCAAACAGTGTTAGCCAGGTTGATGGAATCTCAAATCCAGGGAAGAGGGTTTAGAAAAGGGACAATGGCCTCTGCTCCTCTTGATGCCAAACACTTCAGTTCCTCCCTGTGTACCACTGGTGCCTTTCAAGTTTCTGCCCTGGTGTTAGAGCTCAGAGGGAGTGAGTCTGAGTAGGTGAGTCCATGTGTGGGCTCTTTAAGAAGAACTTGGGGCTCCAGCAGCTTCTTCCACTGACTGAATTCCCACTGATTTTTGCAGCCAGAAGTTGTGGGGATTTATTTTCCTGGCACTGGAACACTGGCCTGGGGGGCCTGGTGTGGGACTGGGACTCTTCACTCCCAAGATACACCTTCCAAATTTTTACCCACCACACCTGGTTGTGCCATGAATCTGCTCCACATCTACACTCTTCCTACCAGTCTGGGTGGATGTGCTTTTCTTATTCCATAGTTGTAGGACTTCCATCCAACTCGGTATCTGACGGTTCTGAGTGATGGTGGTTCCATACTTTAGTTGTAATTTTGATGCGGTTGTGCAAGGAGGTGAGGCTTGTCTCCCTATGCTGCCATCTTGACCAGAAGTCCTAATAAGTTTTTTTTTATATGATAGCTGTTACCATACTATCTAACAAAATTGTTTTGAATGACATTAAAGACAACTAAGCACTACTAGAGCCATCTTATGGGGAAAAAAACAAATGAACTTTTTGGCTAGCTGAATACATTTTGCCTGATAAGAAGAATGGGTTATCAGTTTCTTTTTATCTCATTAGTGCCAGTGAAGTTCATGAATGTCTCCCAACAGACAACAAAGTATTAAGTGACATTTTTGAATAGCACTTACAAGAGACTTAAGAGGGTTAAAGGAAGTTATAGGTTTTTAAATGAGAGAAGTCACTGTATAAATTGTACTTCATATCTCTTAAGAAAATTTATGAACACCTAAATATAAAATGTAAACATTTAAAAGAAATAAAAGAACTCAATGTTTTGCTAAATCACATTGTGTGTGTGTGTGTGTGTGTGTGTGTGTGTGTGTGTGTGTGTGTGTGTTTTCCAGACACATGAAGATCCATGAGAAGGACCCTAACAGTGCCACAGCTGCAGCCCCTCCATCCCCGCTGAAGCGCAGGCGGCTGTCCTCCAAAAGGAAATTCAGTCACGATGCCGAGTCAGAGAAAGAAGACCCAGCTCCTGCTAATAAAAAGGTCCTCTGCCCCTAGCCTGGATGTGCCCAACCACGGGACTCTAGGTCGAAATACTCCTAGTCTTTATTTTCACAGTTCGGGGTCTTCGCAGCCATCCTCCCTGAGCCCGTGGCCTGTTTCCCCCACTGTTTTGTAAGGTGTCTACAGAAAAAAAGAAGTGCCTTTGTGCTTCTCTGCGGAGCCCCCTGGCTGAGCCCGCTGATGAAAATGAAGAGCTCCTTCCGTTACTTCTCTACTTCTCTTTTCTCCTGACTAGAATGGGGGCTCATACGTGTTAAAGACTCTTGTCTTCACTTTTTGATTCCCAGTGGCAGTCAGATGCTAGGTGCTCTGTAAATATGTGTTGAATGGATGAGAGGGTGGGTGACATTTCTAGTGAGTATTCATTGCATAAATGAAGGGCTGGTCAGTAGTGTCCCAAATACCTAGGAGTTGGTATCCCATTCCTTTTAGATAGCTTCTGGATTGAGTGGGCTTCTTTCAGAAGCAAACCCATTGGGGAAGCCTCTTTCATGACTTCACTTTTTCCTTTCCCCTAAGATGGTGGAAGGTGGGCACTCAGGTGACTTGAAGACGAAGGCTGATGAAGTATTTCACTGCCCAGTATGTTTCAAGGAGTTTGTTTGCAAGTATGGACTGGAGACCCACATGGAGACCCACTCAGATAATCCACTAAGGTAGGAGAAAGGGTGGGATATACCTGCTCTCTGGAAAACTTTCCATTCCTGTTTTTTCTAGTAGATGACATTTCCTTTTTTGTCGTTACTACATACTGGGCTGAAATCATTTAACTTGGGTATGAGGACATTAGTAAGGCCATTAACAATGGTGTATGAAGTCAGGTTGAACGGTGTGCAACAGGAGGTGGCTGTAGCCACAGAATGTGTTCAATGAGGTTCACTCTGCTTCCTTCACCCCTGGCGAGCCCATGCAGCTGTCACTATGAGCGCCCTGTACACAAGAGGTCTCCTCTCATGGGGCTTTTAGGCAACAGACACACTGTCTTTGCAAAAGGTGTTTACAATCCAGTAATTGTTAGAGGTGCAAGAGTACGAGGCAAGGATAGGAACTGCGGGTGTTTACACTGAACTGGACTGGTGACACAGAACACCGAGAATGCCTTTTGGGTTGACACCAAGTTCAACTTCAGGCAAGGCATTCCACCTAAAGGGGAGTGATTGTTCTGCTGGTCCAGCCTCAATTTCAGCTTTTTGCTGGCTCTGGTTTTTCTGATCCTCAGCCTTCCAATGTAAAAACGTAGATGGTAATAACTGTCCAGCAGAACTTGAGGCTATGGGGGGCATGGAACTCAGCTTTTATCTCTACCTTCCCTGAGAACTTTTACATCAGGCAGGAAGCCTTGTGTTCTTAGTGAGCAGGTAGGCTTGGGAGCTTTTCCTATAGAACTACCATTTTTAAAATGCCATGCCACTGTTGTTGAGCATTGAAAAGAACAAGGCACCATCGAGAGCCACTGGTGCAGTGTGAGGCTGCAAAGTGACATGTCCGCTGGGGTCACCCAGGGCAGAGGCGAGCACAGACGTGGCTGCAGGGTTGGGTTGCAGAAGACATTTTGGGAATGTAGAACTCTGGGCATCTGCTTATGCATCTGACTCACTGATATGTGCACCAGATTTCCTTCCCAAAGGCACATGTTTGGTTTAGACGTAGGAGTGAAAGGGTCTGAGCAAGCTGAAGACTTCTGTGTTGAGGGAAAAGCCTAATTAATTGTACAGTAACTTAAAGCTGTGTCAAATGTCATTACCTTAAGTCACATTAGCTTGACATTTTTCCATTGGGGTGAAAAAGGATTTATGATAAGTTTAAACTGCTTAGCAGTTGAAGTACTATAGAATGTCTTTATATAACTCCCCCATCTTGGGAAATTGCATAATGTGTGGGAGTGGGCACGGGCTGCTTGTCAGGACCCTGGATCCTAGTGCTGTCTCTGCTCGCGTGGGACCTTGACCAGCTGCATGTGAACCTTGAAGGAGAGCTGGACCAGATAATCCTGGTGTTTCCTTTCAGGCTTTAATTTCTGTGATTCTGACACCTGTCTCTTAATAATTCTCTGTTTACCAAGAAAAAGCATCTGGCGTGCTCTCTTATAGGCCCTGTAGCTCTGAGAGATTCAGGAACCTGACTTCATGGCTTCATTAACATCCACAGCATCCCTGGATGTGGGCTTGTGGTGGGTAATGAATATTGAGATAGTTCTCTAGACTGAGGACCTGAGCAAACAGATGAGCCTCACATGGCGAGTCGTGGGCAGAGGCCGGAATAGCCCGTGGGGCCCTCAGCTCCTGTCAGTGTAAGGTAAACACACTGCTAGTCTCCGAGTTCCTTCATATAACTTTATTTCACTTCATGCTTTAATCTGTGCTCACATGTCATTAGGAACCATGCACTTGCCTCCTTCTAGATAATTCTGCCTCACAGGGAACATAATTTGACTCTCTGTAGAGGTTTCTGGGTGTCTGGAGCCTGCATAGCACAGTATATAGCACTGAGAGACAAAGACCAGGTGTCCCCTTCTTAAAAAGGCCGGCCTGCATGAGGGTGTGAGTTCTCCTGGAAATGGAGCCTTCTAGACAAACTGCTTCCCCAGGGATAGGCTGTGCTTGCTACTAAGAGGATGGAGAAGGGAATCTCACTGGGCACTGGTTGTTCCATTCTGTACAGTTTGGTGGGTAATTCACTCACCATGTTTCCAAGGCCTCCAGGGCCACCAGTGGGCTGTGATGTTCAAACTCAAGTTCTGCCTGATTTCTTTGCCTTCTCAGTAGTAATGCTTTTTGTTTGGTAACGGGTTGACTAAAGAAGTTTTATAGCCTGGCGGGGACTCAGCTCCTCCCAGCAGGCCTCCCTCCCGTGGAACTCCTGGGTGCTGCCCCCCCAGTGCCTGGCAGTGGCCACAAGAAGGGGCTGCCTAGTTTCCATTGTGGGGGACAGTGAGGCCATCCCCTGTCTAGTGGCTGTTGCTAGGTGGGGTGAGGCTTGTGTCTGGAAACCAAAAGGAGCTGATTACAGAACATAGTTAATTTCCCTTTTCTCCTGCCTGCTCTGACTTTCCGCATAATGGCCTGCTATCAGAGGAGGCCATGGAGCAGGCAGGAGCCAGTGGGGCCCAGCCGGGCAGTGAACTGTGACAGTAGCTGGTGGGAGAAACTGCTTGTTAACCCAGAGCTAAAATAGGCACCAGCTCCATTTGCAAACCCCAAAGGCAGCGGAACCACAGTGGGATAGATACTACCAGTTCAGGCAGAAAGTTTGTAACTCAAAACAGCTGTTGGCTTCTCTGCTCTCCTGCCCATAGCCCCCCATCTCCAAAAGCTGGCAAGATGCCCGTCGTTCCTTAATAAAAAGTGTTGGAAATCCAAACACGTGTAAACGCTGAGGCCGTTGTCCTCCATTCTCCTGTGTTTCAAATTAATGAAGTGTCAGCAAAGAACAACAGGAAGACACGAAGCCACTTGTAGCAATTCTAGCTCTTGTCCGTCGTTGCCTGGGCCCTGGCGTGACCAGCAGTAAATCCACCCCTCTCTACAGCTCCCCAGACAAGGAGAAGCACAGGGCTTATTGAGACCTGGTATGTGGAATCAGAGGTGATGGACAAGAGTGTTCAGCGAGCAGGTGGATGCAAAAAGGACCTCCCTGTGTGCGGATGTTTCAGGGTGTTGAATGTCTTGCTTGATTGTAAGAATAGAACAGAGCAGCAGGTCATACACTGCCATGAATAAAGTTAGCTGAGAGGGAAGTGCAGGTCAGTGCCAGCCCACACAGGATGAGAGCCTCATGTCATTGTAAATTTTCTAGGAGCCATATTTTTTAAAAAAATTTATTGATTAGAGAGAGAGACATCGATTTGTTGCTTTACCTGCTTATGCATCCCTTGGTTGATTCTTGTGTGCATCCTGGCTGGGGATCAAATCTGCAACCTTGGCGTGTGGGGGTGATGCTCTAACCAACTGAGCTACCCGACCAGGGCTAATCTAGGAGCCACATTAAAAAAAAATTTAAAGGAACAGATGACATTGATCATGTTTTGTTGATTATATCAATGTCCAAAATGTAATGTCAACATAGGTTCAATACAAAAATTGTCAGTGATATGCTTTACATTCTTATTTATGTGCTAAGTCTTGACAGTCCAGGGTATGTGGTGTGAGCACAGCCCTTCTCAGTTTGCACGAGCATGTCACAAGTGCTCAGCAGCCCACCTCGCAGGCGCAGGTCTAGGTCAAGCCTGCCTGTGGCAAGGAAGGCCCCAAGGCAGCGAGCAGCTTTGCTTTGGAAGCGTCCGGTCTTGTGTCTGACTGACTTATCTCAGGCTGACTGAGGCTGGGCCTGGACAGGTGTAGCTGAGTGGTCACCATGGCAGCGTGACTGCAGATGGAGGCAAGACTTGGCAGTAGTTATTGTTTCATCTTACGTGGCTTCTTGATTGAAGGAGATGAGGTAATAAATAATTTTTAAGTCATTTCAGCAAATGATGTAATGTTTGTTATGTGTCAGGCAATTGACTAGACTTGAGAAAAATAATAGTGATGTTTGAGACAGGGCCCTTAAGAGTCAGTCAGAAAACAAGTAAACGGGCAGTAAAACGAGGCGAGGCGGGTGGATTCAGGGTCCAGGGGCCACAGTGCCCATTGTTCAAGCAGAGGGGGCCCCATCCTGCTAGTCTAAAGCTGCCCTCAGCATTTTGTGTCAGATGGGCTCCCCGCGTTTCCACCAGCGGAGCCCTCCTCCCTTTGATGGAATTGTGGGTCTTGGTTGTCTGTGAGGTGACTTCACATTGGAATGCAATGCCTTTGAATCTGTCAAAAGTTAGTATACAGGGAACCCAGGTGGGCTCCGACAGGGGGATTCTCCAGTGATCCAAAGAGTGTTCAGTTCCGAACCTTCACTGCACACGTGCGCACACACAAACACACTCACACAGTGACCTGCAGGAAGACCCTCTGACTAATTCACACGGCATTGGTCCCACACCTTTTAAATACCATTCTAAAAAGAGGGAGAGGGGATCACAGAATACTTGTCAGCATCTTGTATTTGAGTCTCAGGGGTCTGAGGCTCGGCCAGGTGGAAGCAGAGTTAAAGTGGTGCCAGTGGCTGAGGGTGGAGAGGAGCACACTTCCCTTCTCCCTCTTCTTCCCCGTGGGCCTGGTAGCTGGACACACCTTTGTCGGTTCTGCCCCCTCTCCACCCTGCTCAAGGATCTTCTCTGTCACTTGGGCTGTGCCAGGCAGGGACAGCCACCAGCTTCTGGGCTCGCCCCAGCCCTAGACCTGCCTGGGCATCATGCCACGCTGGTTTGGTTGAACAGTCCGTCCAGCATGTCAGGACTCGGTGTGCAGCCTGGCGGATTCCTGGGCGTGGGGTGGGCAGGCTGCTGCCCACCACTGGCCAGGGCCCTGTCACAGGGCCCGCACTCCTGCTCTCAGCAACTGAGAGAGATTAGTGCAGCTGTCGGATGTCAGTTCTCAGCTGGGCTGGGACTGGAGGGGAGGATGGGGTGGAGGGCAGAGGAATGTCTGAGCTGGGCAGGGCTCCGAGGAGAGGTTGTTTGCACTTAGCCCTACTTGCTTCTAGAGACAGAGCAGGAAAAATGAAGCCTGAAATCCCTTTTAAAAAGGAACGTCAGTCTGTTCATTAAAACACTGTAATGATCGAG